CCAAATGTTCTGAACACCTGCAAGGCGAGAAGAGAGAAATGACATCACGTCTCCCAGATAATCAACCCCTGTTCCCAGGTGAGGAGGGGCAGAGGGATGGGGAAAAAGCCACAGCTCGGAGGGAAATGTCCCCAGAGAAATCCATCCTGCTTTAATCACTCAGTGCATTGTGCTCTCCTCCCAGATAATGGAAGATGGAAGACAGGAAGGGAAAAAGGTTTCAGAGCAAAGAACAAATGTCTTCAGCAGCTCACTGGAGTCAGATCATGTTAAATCTCTGAGAAACACGCTGGGTTTGGGCAAAAAATAACCCAATTCCCCAGGTTTGTGTGAGGCCACCACTGCTGCACGTTCCTGCCTGCAGACACAGAGGGGGCATCATCCCAGCAGGTGGAAACTTGAGCCCACACTCACTCCATGCCCATCCAGCTGCTGAAAATCAGCTCCTGCAGGCAACAGCTCACAGCCAAGTGAACGGTCCTTGTGCTCTCCTGACACAAACAATGCAATAATCCCTTAATTCCTCACTCCCACTGCTTGACAAAACAATTAAGAGTTTAAAACAGTTGGGCAAATGAGGGAAGATCTCCCTCCCTCAGGACTGAGTGGGGTCCTGGGAGTGCCCAACACCTGGCACTGGGTGTTTTGTGTCCCTTGGGGTGTCCTGAGGGCCCCCAAACTTGGCACCATCGCTTTTGTTGCTCTTTAGTCTCATTTTGGCCTGTTCCTTGAAGAGAAACTCTGGGCAAAGCCCAGGTGGGGGTCTCCACTGGTGACATCACTTTCCAAGTGGGGTGGACACAAATTTCCAAGTGGGGTTGACACATGGGTTCCCAAGTGGGTTGGACATGGATTTTCAAGTGAGGGAACACCCCAGATGGGGGTGGCTTTTGGTGGGGCAGCAGAGATGTGGCATCTCAGACCAACCAGCTCACGCTCAGCCTCCCCCCCAGCTGGGGGAACACATGGAAAACCAAAGATTGAAACCACAACAAGCCCCTCCTGCCAGAGCAGGGCACATCCAGACAGGCAGAACATCTCCCTACAGCACAGGGAGCCCAGCACCCAGAGGACACGGGCTCCAGACTGTCAGGAATCCCAACTAGTGCGGGTTCTGAGCTCACATTACCCCAAGATGAGTCATCAAATCAACCAGAAGCCATCAGCAATTTGTTTCCCCTCAAATATTGACACGGGTCTTACAATCCCAGCGTGGAGCGAGCAGGTGAAATGAGAGAGACGTGACATAAATAGTCGAGTCTAAATATAAAGGGGGGGGGGGGGAGAAAAAATGATGCCCTTTAAAAAAGGTTTTATATCCAAATGAAAAATGCCATTTACTTTAATACTTGACTGACCTATTAAACCACTCGAGCTGGAAAGATGAGCTGAACAGCCAGGCTGTGTTTGCAGCCAGGGCCCCCCTAGATGGGCTTTCCCAGATAAGCTTTGAAGGCAAAAATCAGAAATTTCTAATTGGGGGAGTTTTAAATACAGGAAGAAGAAAAGCTGGATTAGTGGAAATCATGGGGAAAATGGGAACCTTGAAATGAGAACAGGAAATGCTGGATAAGGGAAAGGGAAAGGGAAAGGGAAAGGGAAAGGGAAAGGGAAAGGGAAAGGGAAAGGGAAAGGGAAAGGGAAAGGGAAAGGGAAAGGGAAAGGGAAAGGGAAAGGGGAAGGGAAGGGAAGGGAAGGGAAGGGAAGGGATGAATATAAATACATGGGAAAAGATTCCTTGCTGAGCTGGGAACAGTCGGGTTTGGCCACAGGAGCAGAATATGGCACTGGGCAAGCACAAGTACCTCTCTTGGGACCCTCAACCATGGACAGGGACACCTTCCACTAGCTCAGGTTGCTCCAAGCCCCATCCAGCCTGGCCTTGGACACTTCCAGGGATCCAGGGGCAGCCACAGCTTCTCTGGGCAACCTGTGCCAGGGCCTGCCCACCCTCCCAGCCAGGAATTCCTTCCCAATATCCCATCTAGCCCTGCCCTCTGGCAGTTTGAAGCCATTCCCTGTGTCCTGTCACTGCAGCTCCTGATGAGGAACTGTTCCCCCGGTTCCTCCTGAAGATGTTCCTCACCCTCTCACCTGTGCTAGGAGTGATTATTTGGGAAGAGATAACATCTTTTTTTTTTTCCATGGGATCCTCTTGGTTTCGGGCTCCCTGACAACAGGGACGGATTCAGAGCATTATCTGATCATCAGGATAAAATACAGAGCTGTTTGAAAAGGGCAACATCAGTCTATTCACTGCCGTGATACACCTGAGACAGAAAACACGAGGCAAAGCAGGATAATTTAACCTCAGTTTATGTGTCTTCAGGGAAAACAGCACTCCTTGCTGTTAGAGATGTTTAATCTTGCAATAAAAAGGTCCAGCACAAGCCAGAAACAAAAATACAGACAAGTACCCTGAGAATAGTCTATAAAAATACCTATTTTTTTCTCTTTGATGGATCACAGGCTCCTTCTGACGGCTCCTCTGCAAACCCCTGTTGGGAGTACAAAGGTAAATAAGCTCTAAATCTATGAAATAGGATTTGATGGAATCATTGAGGTTGGCAAAGACCTTTAAGATCGAGATCACCGAGTTCCATCTTCAACTGACCACCCTTAGCAAAGGGAAAAGCCCTTCCTTAAGCTGATCAAGGGGAAAAAAAAAATGAGTATTCTGTGAGATCAAAACACAAACCACTGGTGTCCCAAACGCATTTTGCAGGTAGAAAACAGGCCCTGAGAAGCTCTGAGACGTCAGTGTACAAACACAGCCTGCTGCACGTCAAACCATCAGGCCGGACAAGAGTGATATTCCGAAGGCAGGGAAGCCTGACCAGGATAATAGAGAAACAGGTATTTGCCAGTTCATAACCAGGATCCACAGGACAAGCGTTGTCTGCTGATAAATTATCCTTTCAGCACGGAGAAAAAAATGACGGTGGAGAGAGCAAGGAATTTGAAGCCTGTAAATGACTTTTCTAAATGCAGGCAAAGAGGGGGGGGTGAGAGCTCGCTGGTGATTGTCAGAACAAGGTACACCCAGGGAAAAAAAAGCGGGAATTAGCAGCCTGTGCAATCATTTCCTCCACATTTGTGGTGCACAGAGGTTCAGAGACACACACACATCCAGCAAGCAACAGAGAAGAGATGAAAACAAGGGGTTTCCTGGGTGGGTCCAGGAGAAGGGGAACGTGAAGGAGAACGGGAGATTGGAGTTTGAGTGGCAACACCCACGGGGATGATGGGGAAAAAGGTCCTGTTTAGGGGGAAAGCAAGACTTCACCTCCGAGTTTTTGGCAGGGAGATGCATTCCCAGGGCCCCCCAGCTCTCCTGTGCCAGTGGTGGCACCGAGCCATGTCATTATTCCACCGGAGGTGTGAGGAACAGCCCGGTCCTGTCGGCTCCTGCCAAGTGCATCCCCACGGTCCATTTGCTCCTACCCCGGCAGGAGGGACAGGGTTGAAAATGAAATGATGGCTGTGAAAGGAAAATTGCAAGGGACGCCCACAATAACGGGTTTCTGAAGCGTCAAGATCCCAAGAGGATCCTTTTCCAAGAAGGATGAGCCCCCAAGTGCAAACTCGGTATGGAGGAACTCGTGTAAATGGGCAAAAAGGAAGGAATTAAGTCCCTATGCCTTGCAGAGGGGGATGCAAACCAAACCAGCCTTTAGGGCATCCTCTTCATCAGTTTATATGTAGCCCAGTCCTCCATCCTTTATCCTGGAGGGACACGAAAATCCCCAAAAAACCCACGGATTCACGAGGTGACTCAGCGGGTCACCGTAAGGCAAGACACGGCTCTTCCAAACATTAACCCAACCCAGCAGGGGAAACAACAAGAGATGAGACACTCGGGTATCTTCTCCCTCTCGAGGGGCAGCCACAGATTTCTCCTTCCACCCCTGCTTGTTTTGCACTGTCAGGAATTTGGCAGAGCGACGTGTCAGACGAGCAGAATCTCACCCATCCCTCGCGGTGTCAGCTTTAATCTCCGAGCGGAGAAGAGGAAGGGGGACGGAGCTCGGGAGAAGCAGCGCCAGGAGAAGTTGTCAGAGCCGCTGTTTACAAGGAGAGGGTTTTCCTTTCGGCCTCCCAGCCTGAGATCTCCCCGTGGGAGCCGTCAGGCAGCGCTGCCAGGCACGGCAGGGAGATGTTCCGCTCGCAATCAGCTCCGTGTCTGCCCGGGCCCCTCCGGGCTCCGCTGTCACAGGCCCGTCTGGGAACAGCCAGGATGTCAACTCTGCTTTTATCCAAGGCTGCTGCCTTCTAAATCACAGCTCACTGAGGCCCCAGGCCCCACCTGAGGGGAGGTTAGTCTTGCTGCTGGCATTAATGTGGTTTCTTTTCCGACCCAGCAGCTGCCAGCATCCCAAATCTAATAACAAGCTGCTCCATAACACAACACCACTCCTGAAACATCCATCTCTGCCTCCAAAACCGGTTTTTGCCACTGGACATGATCA